CTGTGACCCCCATTCCCTGCCCCCTGTGTTGTTGGGGGGAAGAAGGAGCAGAGCTGAGCCCAGGGAGACCAGAGGGGTGGGGGGAAGGGTGTTGTATTTAAAATCTGGTTGTATCATCTCTCATTCTCCTTGATGGTGGTGGCTGTTTGTATTAAATGTATGTCGTTATCCCCAAGTTGAGTCTGTCTTTCGCCCATGACTGTAACTGGTGAGTGAGCCCTCCCTGTCCTGTGTCTCAATCCTCAAGCCTTTTTGGTTGTATTTTCTCCTCCCCATCCCTCAGGGGACGGGGTAGGGGTGAGTGAGTGGCTGCATGAGGCTTTTGTTGACAGCTGGGTGGGCTCAAACCACGACAACCTCCTACCTCACCCTCCCAGTCAGCCCAGTAACATTGCTGTCTTGTCCCTGCAAGTAGATGTTCTTTTCTGTCTGGGAAGCGTGCAGAGGTACTGACACAGCAGAATGCCAGGCAGGTCTCTGTTAGTCACTACCTCGTATTTCCCAGAACTCTGCAGAAGTGTTCTTTCAGGCTTAAAATGTCACCTTTCACTGTCTGCGTCCCTGCCCACACATACTAAAATGCCTTTTATAGGTTCTCAGATGCACATAAAGTATTTTGGACTAGCAAATGTGAAAATTTGCTGCTGTTTGGTCTTGTGCTTCCCTTCTTGGATTTCCCTCCTTATGTAACAGACCACAATTAGATGAGCTTCAGTAATGAACATACAGCATTTTCTTTCTTTCTTGCTCACTCCCTGTGTTCATTTGAAATTCAGAAAAGATTTTAAAGAATGCTGTGGCATATTGAATCATGGACTCAGGCTGTGGTGAAAGCTGAGACAACTTTATTTAGCAAGACCACTTATTTATACCCAGTCCCCCTCCCTTTCAGTCCTTCTGGGGATTTCCGCAGCTCTGTCTTATAACTATCCATTGTTCTTTGTGTTGGCTAGGTGATCATCACGAGGCGTGGGTTTTTTTATCTTGTTACTTCAGCGGATTACTTTCCCACGGTTTGTTTGCTATCAAGGCCTCACTGCTAGCCCAAGGGCTGCGTAGTGCTGATAAGCCGATGTCCTTGAGCTCATCACTCCCCACAGAACCCTTAATGTTTGCCTGTTTAAGGATCCTTCTTCTTCCAGTTCAGACATGGTAGTAGTAAGAATTACAGTTGGAAATGGTGTGAGAATCTCCTTTCCCTGACAGCCCTGTTGCTGGCTGTTACGGGAGCAGGGGGAGAATGTGAAGCAAAGGATTCTCTTTTATGGCAGTTGGGGGACAAGACTGATTGGCAGCAGTCGTATCGATGGCTGATGGAGATGGTGCCCAAAAGCAATGAAATAAGTAATGGTGTCCGGTGCCAATCATAAGACATCAGTACATGCTTTGAAACAAACTCAGACTTAATTTATCTTGTGTAGTATTGCAGCTTGGCGCTCTTCTCTAAGGCAAATTTCCAAATGTCATTACCCAGCTAAGAAAGCTTTATTCATCCTTGAAGTATTTTGCTGTCCTTGTGGAGTTTCTGGTAACTAATTTATCAAGACGTCTGCCATAAGAAAGGCAAATATAAAATTCTTGGTCTGCTGCTTTGCATTTTGCATGTTTCGAGAGAGCAGGATTCTCTAGAAGAGAGATGTGCTGTTTTTGAGGCATCTTGTGCTAACATTGGGATTACATTGATATAGGCAGGTTGAGCAAATGATGAGGTCTAGCTGGCATCCAGCCTGATAAAGAATCTTAGTCGGAGTTTCTCTGTAGATCTGTGTATTTGGAGATCTTAGTGTTGTTACTAACATTTTGAAAAGGGGAGTAATGGAACGTAACCTTGCAGGCAAGCAAGGTTAGCAGTATAGTCTTAGAGAAACCAAGAGGTAGGTTGCTGTTAGGAAACTGAAGACTCTACACACAGTATCAGTTTGATTCTTACATCTTTGGAGACTTGTGTAATTAAATACTGGCTTTGAAGTGTTCAGAGTGTCTTTGTAAATAGCGGATCATTCCCATTTAAGGAGTGTCAGCTGAGAGGTTCTGGCATAACATGTGGTCCTGCAGTAATAACCAGATGTGTTTAAAAAACTCATTTTTTAGGTGGAGGCAGAAAGGCGAGCGCATGAACAAGAGGAGAACAAGGCAAGTGAGGAATACATCCAATGGCTTCTAGCAGAAGAAGAGGAGGAAAACAGATTGGCAGAAGAGAGACGGAGGGAGATGGAGGAACAGCTGAAGCAAGACGAAGAGTTGGCCTGGCAGCTGAGTAACAGCCTGGTGAGTTAGGATCAAGGGTGACAGCAGAAAATGTGGATATACTGCAAGCAACTTAGCCTTTTCAGAGCAAAAGTTAAAATTATGAGTACTCTCAGTTTATTTTAATTGTAGTTGGAAGCTGTTGTCAGCCCCCAGTACTTTAGATCCTTGATTGATAGTTAATTTTTGAAGAACCAGCGGGAGGGTGAAGTACCCCAAACATTTCTACCTGTCTGACATGCACTTGAAACATGTGCTGGATGTTTTAATTGTGAAACATTTTAAGGCTTTCTTCTGAATACTTCCTTTTCCCCATGATTCTAAAAATACTCAGTTGGAAGAAATTGATGTCTGTAACCTGTACTGAAAAAAGGAAAGTACGATGAAATTTTACCTTATGTTTTGGCGTTTTTTTGTTTGTTTTATTAATTTGTTTTGGGGTTTTGGTTGGTTGGGTTTTGCTACCTGATAATAGTCCCAATGATGAACCCTGTGTACTTATTTGAGCAAAACCTTTTGTCTCTTAATGCCAGATAACGGGAAGAGTACAGAAAAGGTAACATTTCTTATTCCATAACTATCCATTACTTAAAATTCTAGAATTCTTTGGACAAATGTAACTAATTCTGCAGCAGAAACAAAGTAGTTCTCTGGGGTTTCTCCAGCTTGTGTTGTGGTTTGTTTTACATAATGTTATTTTCACTTGTCATCAAAGAATGACGATTCCAAAGGATGTGTGCTCAGCAGTCCTTTACCAGCAGGCAATCTCTCACCTGAAACATCCCCAGCAAATTTCTGCAAGATGAAGAACAAACCAAGCAACTCTGGAGACATTCAGAAGTAAGTAATTCAAGTTTTTCTTCTTTAATTATTGGTCTGTTTCTTGGTATAGTGTCGTGCTCCTTACTTGGAATCCTGTAGTCCAGTTTCCCTGGATAGTCTGGGGCAAACGTAAACTGTTGCATGTTAAAACACCTCCTCATAGGATAACACAGAGGAGAAGGGAAATGTCCCCCTCTTGGTGTTTTTGTTTATCAGAATGAACCTGAAGATCTTGATTAATGCAAAGGACTGACAATTCAAGGAAAAAATGCTTAAAATACACTTCTTTTTTTTTTTTTTTGACTTTTAAGGTATCTGTCTCCAAAGCTTCATCATATGTTGGGATCAGCATCATTCTCTAGAACAACAAAAAGAGGCAGGAGTGACTCTGGCTTTGTGGTAACTAGAATTGTTTTGTTACAAATCTCAGTGTCAGTAATTACGAGTTACTTTCTCCTTGCTATAGGATGCCAGTCCTATGTTCCCCTTGCACATCAGTGCTAGGCAGTTTATCTTGCCCTTTTTGAATTACCTTCAGTATTCATGGTTCCTCAAAGTGGAAAGGGAAGAATCCGTGCTTGACAGTCCGCAGTGCACACCTGTGGCTTACTTTGATAGTTCCCGTGTTACAAGTGCCTCACCTGAATGTCTTCTGTGAGCTCTGGGCTGCAACCGATAGTGTAGCAAACTAAAATGATGGTTCTGTTGCTCACCGGAGGAGGTTGCATTCTGATTTTCATCATTCCATATGTCTGTCTGTCTGATCTTTCCTGTTAAGCTTCAAAAGAAGGTGAACAGGCTTGAACAGTTGGTTTGAGTCATTGATAAGAGGAGAATGCTGCAGTTGTGTTTTCTTTAGCTAGGCTTCTGTAGGTTGTTCTAAATATTTTTGTTATTATTAAACAATTATATTTTTTTAAAAAGGAGAAGAATCCAAATTAATATTCCAGAGTAGTTATGAGCAGCACAGCTATGAGAAACAAGATCTGCGTTTTCTTCAGACCCATGGGCTTTTGATAAATTGACTTTATTAGTGGTTTCTCCCTTTTCTGCAGGAAACCAGTAGCAACGAAGGCAGCAGTTCTGTGTGGCAGGACGAGCAAGAGGAAATGCCAACGCTGTCTCCACAGCTGACCGGTGTTACTAAAGATTCTGGTGCGAAGGATTCATTTTTGGAGTGGTGCATGACCTATTTCAGTGCCTCAGCTTCAGAGGAAACCGCTGCTGTCAAGCAGGAAGAAACACAGGGTCCAAATTGTCTAGGAGATGAAGTTCCAAATGCACTTCATGGAATCGCAAAAGGGGAAGGGTCTAGAACAGATCTTTGTAGATCCAAAGGAGAAGGTGATGGAATTGAGTCAGACAGTGGCAGTTTAACACATGTAGAAAGCCTAAACCATGAAAACTCTGCTGAAACTGGTACCCATATTCAGTCAGGAACGAGCAGAAGTGTAACATGTGACCTCCTGAAGGTGGCTGGACACTCACATGAAGAGGGACCAGAGAGACTGCAGAACACTGAGATGCTAAAAAGGAAGTCACTGGAGCCACCAGCTGAAGCAGTGGTTGACTTATGTGTGCTTGATAAGAGGAGAAGAACTTGTCCGGAAAGTTTAGAGGACCAAGGAGAGCAGATAAATGGTTTTGACTTGCAGATGCAGAAAGCCTTTGAGCAGGTGTTCTATGAAAGGCGTGTGCAAGAGGAGCAGGACAGGCTTCTGGCTCTGCAGCTACAAAAGCAGATGGACAAGGAGGAAAGGACACTGAATCGGCAGAAGGGCTCTCCAGATGAGTACCTTCTTCGCACCAAACCATCTCAGTCTATGAAAGACTCTTCTGCCAGAAAGAGAGGTTCAAAGATGGCAAAAGACTCAAAGGTACAAAAAACCCAGGCTGAAACAAATCATCGCAAAGCTCGGAAAGGTTCTGGCAATGAGAACTGGCAGTCCCCTACCCGAGTCCGAATGAAATCACTGGGCATCAAGGGAGGAAAAGTTCTGAATTGTGTGGTTAATACCAGTGATGCAAATGATATTTGTTCCCTGCCTAAGAATAAGCAAAAGACGATCCTTCAGATGTTTAAAAGCTCTGTTGCAGAGTAGATCGACAGAACCACTGACATGTGGTGGAATCAGAATTGAAACTGTGGCAATGCTTTCTCCTGTGTTAGGCAAAGCTTCCCATAAACAGTTTTGAAGTTCTTGGTTTTGAGGGGGATCACTTTGGGACACAGAGTCTTGTGTGTTTGGAGTTGTTCTCATAATGTATGCCCTCAGGCTTTAAAAAATTTTAATTGGTCTTTTCTCGACTACAGCTTGTTTTCGAGCATTGCGTTTATGTAAGTTTTGATGTGCATAATGTTAGTGTTTAAAAACAAAAATAACTGATGGTCTTATCTTAAAATGAGAATTTGGAGCCTTTTACAGAAAGGATGCACATTCCACAGAGGAAAGAAGAAAAAAATGAGTCTGTGTTTCTAGTTGTCCGCCAACCACAAGATTGAAGGTTCACGACTGCTGTTAGGTGGAAGTGTGTTACTGGAATTCAGGCTGTTCGTTCGCATGACAGTTAACAAGAGTCTAACCAGACAGCCAGTCTTGCAGACACTCTCTTTCCCTCTCCCTCTCAGCCACTAACTCCGTTCTTAGACAAAGAGGGAGAAACCAGGTCGTCCTCCTACTGCCAAAGCCAAGGATCTTTCATAGATGCCAATAATATAAGTGGTTCGTAGAGGTCACTTCTGCGGATCAGACTCTTGCTGTCGTTAGGAAAAAGATACTTTTGTTTTCTTATTGCTGGTGTTCTGCAACTATTCTTGTACAATTAATATTACTTATATTTAGAGCTATTTAATTTTCATACTCAAACTGTTTTGACTCTGATTAAAAACATGGAATAGTAAAAAAACAGTCCAGAAGACAGTTATAATGGAGGAAGTTAAACCAAGAGGGAAAAGCAACTGAAAACTGGTGTTGTCAGTAATGACGTAACTATAATTAAAGATTCTCATCACCACCATGCCTGGCTGTAACTCTCCTCCTCCATTTTTAGAGGGAATACCAAATACTGTCTTCCAGTGGGGTTTAAAACTAGCAGCGTTCAAAAGACGGACAATTTAGATGTGTGGAAAGCTGAGGCTGGTGAAGAGCTGACCGACTGCCGCTCAGTATTCTTGCTGGATTGTTTTATCTGTTGCTATTACCAGTTGCATCAGTATAGATCTCTTTCTGTTTGATCCTTACCTTTCTTTGGGTTGTCTTCTGTCTTACCCATGCAGTCAAATATAATTGTTAAAGTGTTCTTTAAGGCAGAGGTACTGACTGTTTTCATGCTAGTGACACGCAGCCTTTCCAGCCATGATAAGCATGTAAGAAATAAACTCTCCATTTTCAAAACAGATGACGAGAAAGAGTTTGGGGATTTTTTTAAAGTTTGTTCAGCCTTATTTTACAATTTCTGAAGTCTGATGTCTATTTTTAACTTACTCAAAAGACGGTCCCTGCTCTGGCACGGAGCTCCTCCTTCCCCGATCACATCTCCTGATGGCTGCTGCCTGTTCTCATGTATGGCACTGTGTGCTTCTCTTATTTACTGCTGTTTTGGTGTGATGGGTTGTTCAGGATTTCAGAGCGGGTTGGAAAGGTTTTGGAGTGGTGAAGGGCAGTTCCCAGCCTCTTCCCACGCAGGGTACCCCTGCAGCCACCTGCTGCAAGAACCCTGAAGTTTATGCCCAATGCAACTGTCTCTGCAGTCGGAGACAGTTTCTGTGGCCCTGGCAGTCCTGCTGTGCCCCTCTGAGGGGTCTGAATCTCTGCTCTGTGCTTCTCAATCACTGCCTTTAATCTAGCACAGAGTCTGAATCTGGAGTGTTTCGAACTGCTGGCCATTGGTATGTAAGAAATCATCTTGCATGTCTTAAAAATTCTGACCCTGGTTAGTTGCTGTGTTTGTCTCAGCTCAACCGTCATCATACTCCAGTACAGCAGTGCTGGCTTTGAAATCGCTTTTACGGACAGGTCCTGATATTTGGGAAAGACTCGGTCGAAAAAATAAAAAAAAAAGGAAGCACGTGTGGTCATACAGGCAAAAAATATCCAGATAAACTTTAAAGAGCTGAATGGAATGAAGCTAGAAATTAGATACGTATCCCCTAACAGCTTTGATCTTTGTTAGGGTTAATTTTCATCTACTGCTTTCATGGTTTTGGGGCTAGCTCAGTGTGAGCATTGAGTAACAGTCATAAGATAGGAGGCATTTTGTTTAAAAAATGCAGGAGGAGAGTGAACGGCTGTACTAGCTCACTGCCAAGGACAGGATTCCTTCAGGTGTGCCAGCTTTGGCACTCGGGGCCTCTCCACAATCTAATTCCAGATGTTAAAGGGGTAGGGGAAGCATTGAGGGGAGAGAGGGCAAGGGAGAGAGGAGAATTTCCCTTTCTGGCAGCAATATGTCTTGTTCAAGTAGCTCAGCTGCTCATGAAGCCCTGTCCCAGTACATGGGATTGCTGCATTTAACACCAGTTTCATTCTGTCTTCCCCCAAAAGCTGTTCTGTGGATTCTTTCTTTTCCCTTTTAATCTGTCGATTAGGTTTCTCTTCCATGTAAGGTTTATGAATTGCACTAAACTAATCTCAGAAGCTCAAGGAGGGTGGGGCTTTTTGCGTCCTTACTCTTCAGTCTCACATGGACTTACTTCATTGGCATCAATAGCAAATCCTGCTGCTGTGATTCCATTGAAAACAAATACAAAAATTACAGAAATGATCCTTTTCAAGGGTCTAAACAGTACAGAAGTGTATTTTGGTGTTGGTGTATACTGGAGGATGCGTTAAAGTATTTGGGTGTTATTTGCGTTTTTCCAACTTAATGGATTTTGTCCCCAGTGTAAGAATGACTGACCCCTTGTGTAGGAAACATTTTTTTTTTAAGCAGAATGGGGAAAAAAGCAAGACTAAAAAGTCAATCATTAGCTAAAACTCAACTTTAACTGCAAAATTACTCAAAACCTATAATCTATACCAACAGCCTCATCTAAGGTGGGGTACTGCAAGCCCTCAGATCCCAAAGATGATCACATTCCGAACTGCGTGAACGGCATCATAATATTCACCAGGCACCTCTTTGACCTCGCCTTTTAGATTTTTCTTGTTAGATGGTGGAATTTGGCCAATGATGCGTGGATTTTGTTTGCACCAAGATCCTGTTTCTGTGAACTTTGAAGAAGGTGAAATCAGCTTTGGTTTAATGGTATTTGTGAAGCTGTACTTACGCTATCTGAGCTGGTGTAATGGTTCGCTGCTGCTCAAAAGGGTGAGCTCACCTTCTGCCTTCAGCTAGCTCTAGTTTGTCCCCTTTGTGAACAAATTCAGCTCATCCAACTGCCGGGGAAAAAAAGCAAGTACCAAGACTACCAGATATTTTGACAGGCTTGGTCACTTCCCTAAGAGCCAGAGCTGGTGTGGAGATGGGAGGCAGGGAGAGAAGCAAGAGGGAACAGCTCTACCTGTTTTCATAGCAGCAAGTTTTTAAATGCTTAGACTTCCAAGGAAACCTCTGCTTTCTGTGGTACTCCCTTTGGCTGCCACTTGTCAATGACAAGGTGCTCTGCAGCACACCAGCCTGCCGACAGCGTTGGCAGCAAGCCTGCCACCTGCTGTGCTGCGTTGTAAAACAACTGAAAGTAGTAAAATGTACCTTGTCTAAGGGTGCAATTTCTGCAGGTAGCACAGGGATCAAAAACAGCCAGCATGCTTCTTGTTGAGGCTGTTGCTTTACGACTTTGAAGAACTCACAGGGAAAGTATCCTGATAGCAAGTACTGCCCCGTTAACGACCTCCCTTGACACTGTTTCTGGGCCACGCAGGACCTGCCTTCTCCCTTGCAGCCCCTGTGGCCCCTGTACATGCTTCCACGTGAAGGCAAAGGCCTGCCAGACCTCTCACTGCTGTAGGTGTCTGTGACGAGGTAAATCTGTGCAGAAGCTCTGGCCTCGTGTCATGAGCGTTTCAGTGTCACCCCTGAGGCCTCTGCTTCTCCAGTCCCGCGATTGATGAGAGCAGAGGGTCTGAAATGCAGGGGGGAAGCTCTCCCCCACCGCCGTGGCCTTTGAGAAG